TAAGACTTACTTAGGGTCTGCTCTCCTTTACTGGTACTGTTCCAGGATGAGGGAGTCGTTGGCAGATCCCTTGATGGGGAAGGAGTATAGATAGGTTTAGTATTCTTATTTTTGGATCTAATAAACTTGGCTGCATCAAGTTCCATGGCTTGAATCCTCTAACTGCCCGTGATCTGGCAGTTAGAGGTATAGATTGGGTGAAACAGGTAAAGGTATGGATTGGGTGAATGAATCTACGTCTGGTCCGGATATCATAGCATCTACAACTTCCTTACTGATTGCCAGCATGATTGCTAAATAGTCCAGAATAAAAGTGAAGTGTATGTGTTGGAAAAATTTATTTTTACAAAATCTTTTAGGAACTCGATGACTTTTTCCGTAAACGTGGAGAAGCAGAGGCCGAGTATTCGCGTCAGCTGGAGAAGTTAGCTAAAGGTATCATGCAACGTCATAAGGCGGAGAAAAATAGGTCTGTTTTTGGGTCTGTTTTTGTTTTCTTTGCTCAGTTGTAATAACTACAATAACTACAGTAAAGGTTTAATATGCGAGCATGCCTGTAAAAGGGGGATATTTAAAGCAGCACCTGTGTCAAACTTCATTAATCTGGCTTTGTTGTAATGAAACCAGATGCCAACTTATGATCCACAGATGCCCCTTTTTTTGTGCAGGTCGCTCAGAAGTCGTTTCAAGAGAAAATAAGAAAATAAAATATCATCTTATCGGAATTTACCGTTACTTCTGAAGCTGAATAGTTATTTTTTCTCCTGAGGACATTCAATGAGTGATTTGGAGGCCACATGGTTTTGTGTCTGGCGTGCAGGTGTTGTGGATTGCTTCGCTCCACGTGTGTTATATTTAGAGAAACAAAAAACGGCTCTACGTAGGGTGCAATCACAGAAGCCGTCTTACCATGTCCTCCCTCATTTTCTTGCAAGGTTTTCCGAGACTTCTAAGATGATGNATCTTATCGGAATTTACCGTTACTTCTGAAGCTGAATAGTTATTTTTTCTCCTGAGGACATTCAATGAGTGATTTGGAGGCCACAAGGTTTTATGTCTGCTGTGCAGGTGTTGTGGATTGCTCCGCTCCACGTGTGTTATATTTAGGGATACGAAAAAACGGCCTACGTAGAGTGCAATCACGGAAGCCGTCTTACCATGTCCTCCCTCATTTTCTTGCAAGGTTTTCCGAGACTTCTAAGATGATGCCGCAGTCTGCTGCAAGAATTTTGTTCTATTTGCGTCTTGTCTAGTCGTGCTGACAGCTTTTTCATCATCTCGTCACTAGTTCTCTTTCTTTTTTTTCCACTTGGTCGCTGCAGTCATCTCATTTTTCACAACTCCTGATTCTCCTTTACTTCTTGTTTTGCAACACTTTATGTATGAAATTGTAAAATGAAATCTTGTTTACCCTGGTGTTTCGGCTTTTTTTGCTTCCGATTAATTAAACCTTGTCTGGGAGGGCATGCCATCCAGTTCGAAATAAAGAGCTTGGTTCTAGCAAGGGGCAAGCCCAGCCTGGATAAGTTTCTTCAATTAATTAGTGTTGATACTGAAAACAGTGTTTAGGCGCGACAGTTGGACACAACATGCATCGTGCTCAGCTTGGCAACAATTAGTAGATGATACTAAAAGTGAAGCTCTTCAGAGACAGGTACTTTTTAAGTGATTTTGAAGTTTCAAATAGAAAACGACTTCAACAAGCGACGTATTGAATCCGTTTTAGATGCTTGCCGAGTTGTACAGTAAACATATAAGTGGCAGTATTAGTTCAAGATGTGAAGATTTGAGCAAAATTAGTAAACGGGTAAGTTGTTGACTGTACTTTTTTGTGCCCCTTATTTGTTTTTTTGCGGCGGTTTCAATCGATAACTCCATCGTTCGATTTTATTGATTTTTTCTTCTCAGTTGCCTTGATGTTTAGAAAAGTTTTTAGTGCCGTGAAATTGGTGCCCTGTCTCATAGTGAATTGAATCGGGTGCTTACCGAACTGCATACGGCTATGAAAACGTACCAGGTAAGGTTGACCGAATTTATTGACTACAGGACTCTCCTAGGTTGTAGGCTTTTCACTTATTTTCGAAAATGAATCATATGTATTGAAATGAACGGCGCCTTCAAACTTTTTTCGGATCGATGTTTTGAGATCTTTTTTATTCCAACTAAGCAATTCTGGTTTAGTATTTTCCCGAGTGGATTTCCATTTTCATAAAAACCTCCCATATCAAGTGGCGCAGCATGAAAGCGAGCGATACTGTCGGTGGTCGTTACACTGGAAACAGCCACTACTCAGTGATGGCTAAGGATCGTTTTTCAAAGAGAATTGGTCTTCATTCGCTGTGATGGCATCTTTCCCAGCCATCCAGTGCGATCTGCAGCTATCTGGAATCAGATCCGTCTCCTAGATGTTTGTAATATGCTTAGTACACAGCTTAGGGGAAGCGAAAACGTCTGGGAGCGAATTGAGCTGAAATTCTGAGGGCGACCTGCAAGTGATGGGCAGTACCCCAAATAGGGTAGGTAATAGGTTTCACTTCTCAAAGGTTGGCTCCAAATCCCGTGTAGAGCGTATGCCTATAGTAAAGAAATCGTGATGCATAAAATACTCTCCAAGTGATTTACCCTTACTTAATTTATTCATGAGCCATGGGAACGTCACCGCTCTGACTAGATTACCATGTTTAGTTGTGCTATGCGGAAATGACTGGTGTAGAACGGAAATTACGAATAGCCGAGGAGGAAAAGCGACGGTATGAAGAAGCGAATCCTGAAAAAGCGGAGGGTACTCGCAAATATCGTAATTTATGCAAGTATCTGAAGAAGGTGAGCCCCATTCTATTCTGATTTGATGAGAAATTGAAGTATAAAAATGATTTATTCATTNCAGAGAGAGGATAAGTACAACGCTGTTCATTCCAAATGCACAAAAGGACGTAATGAGTATTTGATGTGCATTCGTGCAGCAAATGCAGCATTACACAGGTTTTTATTATGCGTTCTTTGTCCTTTAATCTTATTCATGTGGAAAGAGCCAAAGTATGTGAGGCAACAATGAAAAAGTTTGACAAGCTTTCTTGAGCAGAATTCCAGTCCCTTTCAATTTTATCCAAAATCTACAGACATTGACTGATCAGCTTTCAGGTTCTTCGCACAGGACCTCAGTTACCTAATCGACTGCATGGACTTGGGCATGGACTACTGGACAAGAGCTTTGTTAGGTTTGTTCTTTTATCAATTAGATTGCGGTATTTATTGTTATTATTATTATTTATTACGGAATTGGATATTTGTGTTATGTTCACTTTGTTTGGTTCTCGTGGGTACTAAATGGAGAGCATGCTTGACAGATAGATGAATATAGTATTTACCGCAGTAGTCCTGTTTCACTGGTGTACGCCGAGACAGTGCCCCTTCTTTTTCTCGTGGTCTAATGGATAAGGACCTTTATTTGAGGAGCTTGGGTCCAGTTTCGAGTTCTGGTGAGACAATATGTTTTACCAATAGTTCTGCACCACTATAATGATACCGACAACTGGATCTATCGTTCATCGAAAGAAATATAATGTCCTAGGAGTTATGGATGTTTCTAAAGTTAAAAGGGGCTGGCTCAAACAGCTGTTAACCGTGCGTCATCGCTGTGACAGCTTTGAATTGACGGCTCCCTTTGATCATGTTTCGAAGGGTTGGGAAAATGATATTTATAGAAACCAGACAATTACCGAGAAAAAGATAAGAATATAATAAATTTGATTTTGGGGCTTGTTCGTTCCGCTCTGCTTCTTTCGTTTCTTTTTTTCCCTCTTTGGTTTTTCTCATGCTCCCTTAGTGTTCATCGTTCTTCGTATTTTCTACCTTTTTCATTTTTTTGCCAAACTTTTTCATGTTCACCAGGCTGACTTATTGTGGTAGGAGTCGCTGTTTTTGTATTTTCTCCCATTTTTTCCAGCCCCAACAACATCTCGTCATCTTCTTCTCCCTTAATCTCCTTTTCCCTGCAACGTGGATAGATCCTGCAGAATGTGATACGGTAGATAATCTGGACCTTGACAAAATGGGGTTAAACATGGTATAATCTCCATCTAGGATGAAGGTAAAAAGGAAAGAAGAAAAAGTGTGGAAAAACAGTTTTTGGTGGCGGTCAATATCTTTTTTGGCATGCGCTACGTACAGAAGCTACCCTGATGCGCTCGCTCCATTTAGCAGTCGAATAGGGGGGTGAAACATCATCCTGCTATGATTGGGTATGTTGACTTAGACCTAAGATGGTTTGCCGATGTATAAGTCACTGTTTTTATCCTCCCATACAAGCCTGTTCCAGTCAACCCACCTCGCTTGACTATCTTTGAGCCTTGAACTGTGATTAGATCCCCACACCCTGCGTTTGTAATAGTGTTCCACTCGCCAGTGCAACCCAACGTATAGTGCTCAATGGAGTAGGAATCTCTGAATATTTGAAAATTTGTAAAAATTTGTAACAAATTATACTTACAAGCCTCATTGCAGGCCAGGTAGTCGAAGTTCGCAAACGCCTAACGCAGCGAGAAATGGACAGTTTGGCAGAATTAGGTACGCTGAGGTCGGCGGTAGATGCAAAAGCGGATAAGCAACGGTTCTTCGAAGCACATCATGCCACCTTCATGCTGCCGAAGCAATTCGAGTTTAGGTAACTTTGTTGATTTTGTCGAAGAATTAAAAAATGTTTCATCTTTGAGTGTTGATTGACTGTTGATTTTCCAGGCCACAACTAGGTGACTGTATAAATACTGTATCGGCGGAAAAAGGAATAGCAGTTGAATTAGCACAACGTCAAAAGCAGATAGAGAAACGCCTAGAAGGACTACGTTTTGAAAGTGATGAAGTGAGTGTTTTTCTCTGATGCAGCCGAATTATGTAGTGGTAAGTAAACCCATCAAGCACGACTCATTGGTGCTCAGTTGGACATATGTCAACATAAGTAAATGTTGTGATGACAGTGTCTTAATGCTTGTCTGCGCTTAGTGAAAGATGACATATGGGTAAAAACCGGTTTTTGCATCCGCCCAGGAGGCTGGAATGATTCGAGAAAAACCGGTAGCTCTGAAACTAGTACCCAGGTTGTAGGAAATAGGGTACTGTTTGTCGGCTGTGAGTCTGCCCACCATGATAGCATTGGGAATTTCAAGGGACATTCCTAGATTTTCTCAAGATTTCCTCCTTTTCTTCTTTTTAGTGAATATTATATAACGCACCTTGTATTTGTCACTAGATTTATCTGCGTTGGGGTTTTTTTTTCTGAGCTTTCGAGTCTTCATTCGAATCTTTTTCAAGGTATGGAAGAGTTTGGAAGCATCGGATCGCCAACTCCTCCAAATGTACAGTTGTGATTTTAAAGAAAAGGAAGAACCAGGCAAATGGCGGCAAGATATTCTGGTGACCTACCAATACTATCTCAAAGTGGGTTCTGATTAGATTTTATTGCGATATTTTACTTTAAATTTTTTCTGTAGCTGTCCTTGGCCACATTAGCAAATGTGGCTATTTTTCTTATGTGGCTGAATTCTTTCCTTTTTTCATTTACACATTTTAAAATTTTGTCGGAGGTCTGAAAGGCACCTCGATGATTGACGGTTTGGGTAATAGCGCTAGAGTTCTTAGCCAGCTGGCGCAAACTATGCCTTCAAGTTATCTCCTGCTTTACATTCGTGATATGAAGTGTAACGGGCAAATCTCATATCGCTGAGGCTGGGAATTCTGCGCGGTCCGTTTCGCTAAGTGCAAAGTTTATGGACTTCTCGACAGCTGTAACTCATAGGGGAACTGAACCACATAGCACATACCCATTGTGGTTCTTAGGTTGGCGATAGCCCACCTCGTGGTCACTAAAGGTTTTACATATTACTACTACCGGTTTACAGTTGAACAGCGTTGTCTTTTATGCCATTCTGAAAACGTAAAAGAAGTCGCGGCCATTAAACCGCCGGTTGCCATGGAATAGTGTCTTTCCAAACCTCCATGGCCAAAAATTGTCCTTTTCTTTGGTAAAAAAAGACCTTCCATGCGAAAGTAGGATTGGAGGGAGTTCCCGTTGAAAGATTGCAAGGTTTTCTTTCCCAGAATCAAAATCCCTGAAAGGCTATAGTACCGGTCATGTGACGTCTCTTCAAACTGTTGTTTTACAGAAGTTTGAGTATTTTCTGCTGAATGGAAATCTGATAGAGCGGCTAGAGGCGAGAAGTCGGGCGATCGGTGAAGCGCTTTCACGAGCAGCTGGTGCTTCATCGAATAACTCATTGGTTACAACATCCGAGGAACGGATGAAACGACGCCCCAAGAGAATTGGTGTGGCTGGTAGTGACGAGCTAAAGCCAAGACCAAAACTTTTCGGTTGGTGGAGTGTTCCGATTTTTTATGAAGTTGTAGCAAAAAGAGTTGCATAGGAGGAAGTCTTGATGAGTACGTGGAGGCGACCGGTGAAGCAATCCCGCTAGTTGTTGTATCCGCTATATCCTATCTGTCACGGTACTCTTTGCGGAATCAGGGTCTTTTCCGTGTGAGTGGTTCTCAGTCGGAGATCAATCGGTTCAAGGAAGCCTACGAAAGAGGTTGGTGGATCCATCTCATCTCAAAGTTTTTTGTAATTTATGCAGTTTATGAGTTCGATTTATTTACCATTTGTAACTATTCTGTAACTATTTTATTTACTATTCTGTTTCCACGTATTTATCCATCAGTTCATTTTCACTTCTGTACTTTGAATTGTACGTGGTCACCTGGGATATTACTCTTGGAACGCAGCTTGTGTCGGTGTATTCCTGACGAAAAGTTTCGGGGTTGTTCGATTCTGGTTGATCATAAAGTGCTTCAGTGTTTCTAGTGTTTGTTCCTTTATTCTTTTTTCCGAATTGTTCTCTTCCCTTTTTTCAGGAGACGATGCGTTCATGGAGCTGACAGACGGCAGCGAATCGAATTCAGTAGCTGGTGTTTTGAAGCTGTACCTGAGAGAGCTACGTGAGCCACTGTTCCCGATCTTCCTATTCGATCAGTTTACAGATTGCGCTAAAGCAGATTCGGCTCAGGACTTTGTGAGAAAAGTGAGTTAGTAAGAAACCTTTTTTTTTGGAATTTCAATTATTTCTCAGACGCACTAGTGAACGGCCTACGAGAAAGTGCATTACCGTTTTTCTAGGCGAAAGAGCTCATTGAGAAGCTGCCGATTTCTCATATATTATTGCTACGCTTTTTATTCTCCTTCCTATCGCATCTATGTGAGTTTGCGGACGAGAATATGATGGAGCCGCATAATATGGCCATTTGCTTCGGCCCGACTTTGTTACCAATACCTGAGGGAAAGGATCAAGTTTGTAATTTCATTCATTCAAATTTCGGAAATTTTACATTTTTCACAGATCCTCAGCGAATAGTTTTTAGGTTTTCTATCATAATTTTGTGAACGAGCTGGTACGAAACTTGATTCTTCACGTGAATGAAGTGTTCCCACAAGATCTACCTGGCCCTGTTTATGATAAGTATGCAGCAATAGCGGAAGAAGTCGACCATATGGGCTATATGGACGAAGCGTGAGTTATTCTTTGAATTCTTGTCAAGTCATGTGTTCTATCAAGTGCATCTATGATTTTTGGTGCCCAGTGGAACTCAAAGGGGCTTATCAAGGCCTGATAAAGGATGTCAACGACGTTTCTTTTTTGATCTCGCACATTTTTTGCATACCTTCCCTCGCACTTCTGTTTTTTAAAGCACGCGCTGTCATGGAAAATTATAAATCACGAAGAAGTTTTTAACTAATAGTAGGAAATATTGATTTTCAGTGACGGCCTATCTGAAGATGAAGATTGTCTACGGAACGGTAGCGGAGTTTCAGCAGATTCAGCACTTGCTGAATCTACTTACGATATTTCAACATCTGCGGATATGACACGCGATGCTACCACTTCAACCCTACAACGGGTACCAACGCCTGAAGACCAAAGTCAGCCGCCGAGTGTTTCGTCGAGGTAGGGCTGTCCAGGAACTTCCGCTGTTATGCTTTTTCCTGAAGCTTTTTTTGCTTGTGCCGCTAACCTTCTCAACCAATTCGATTTGTTCTAGCGCGAGATTTAACCTTTTCTAGAGCGGGGCGACCCATTTGAAGCTGTTTATCTCCTCGTGCGTTTGTAATGGGTATTATTGGAAAAAAGGATTCCAAATACAAAAACCGCTTGTTGGCCGACTTTAAAGGGGTATAATGGAGAAAATTGTTGGGGCATTTGGTAATGCTAGTTCAACTCTCAATAGGTAGCGACAAGTGCAAAGTTGTTGGAGCGGACTTAAATAGGTAGATTGAAATAAGAAGTCACTTCCGATGCAAAAGGGACGTTGATTGGAGCAAACCGAAATTGGATTTTCAGTTTATATGGACTTTAGTATATTATATGGACGGAAGCTCGAATTACAAATTTTATTTCTAATTTTTTCTCAGCTAATGAATCATCAAAAAAGGAGCTAGTGCAGACAAGTCGTGAAAATTATCTGATTTTATTTAAGGTCATCGAATCGTTCAAATCTCGAAGCGTATCTTCGGCGAATGTCCGAGGATGTGTCACCGGCATTACGAACCGAAATGCCTCATCTTATCGCCAATGAAGTGGCCGCGAAATTTGCGGCAAAAGAACGGGCAGCCGCAATGGCAAATGTAAAGTACGTGCGCTTACGCGGATTCGCTTGAAGTTTTTTCTTTGAAAGGGTCTCATCAAATGTCAGGCGCATAAAAGGCAGTGTTCATTCAAAATGAATTTTTTAAGGGCAAATGCAGTTGTGGAACATGAGCGTCCTTCATCACATCCATCACACACATCGGCTTTGCCACTGTATGTATCCCATACATCGGTGCAATCGACGTCGAATGCACCAGCACACACAGTAGCTCCATCGACGGGTGCAACTTATGGAAGCGGAACGGTGAATTCCGGCCGACTTCCTGTAATGACGTCACTTCGAGATCAGTTACACCACTTTCGACGAGAGCTGAATAGTGGGAGAGAGGACACCTCAAGAGTGTATCCGATGTGAGTTAGTGGACCACTGCAGTATTGATGGGCCTTAAATTTGCAGCGTCATGAGATTCATTAGGGAATGTACTTAAAGTGGTCATTATCTAGGATTTGCTTTAGGCCTGAAGGTCTGAGCTGCTATTCAAGGCGGGTTTGTCATCAAGATGGTTCGGTGTTGAATGCTAGAGG